GCAGTCTCAGTGGTGGACCACAACCAGAGAGTCACGTGTGATAAGAGCCTCTGACGACGCCCTGCCTAAGACACTGTTGCCTTACCCAGTTCCACACGTGTACAGACCTGGTACAGTCAAGGGACTGAGTCACAACAACAAAGCCATGGTTTTTGGCTTCAGCCCTGACAACAAAACATGTGGACCAAACACATTAATGCTGCCTCATGGTCAGGCGTGTGTGTGTGTGTGTGTGTGTGTGTGTGTGTGTGTGTGTGTGTGTTGTATCACATGTTCCCAAAATTTTGCTGATGTGACATGACAAAATGAAATCGTTTATACTATATTTATACTGCATTCCCTCTTCTACATCCTAGCTCCTCATTTTAGTACCTCACCCTTTCCCCACCCATTCTACCCTCACAGGGAAAAGAAAAAGAAATGCATATATAGGGAGGGGGAGACAGAGAGAGAGGAAGAGAGGAAGAGAGAGACAGTGGAAGCAGGTAGAGGAGACCACAGCCGAACTCAGAACATCATATAGTCTTGCATGTCTCAAGCAATATCACTGATCTAGATATACCTATTGCCTGAACCCATTTGAGAACTGTACCTCTTTCACCTAGCACACAGCCTGTAAGCTAAGACTATATGGTATAATAGTTTTGAAGTTAAAGACAGCCCCAGTCCCAATACCACTAAAACATATTTCTTTGGAGGAGCTTTGAATGCCTTCAATTATGTAAAATTCAGGTTAGGTATCCTGCCAAACACATTTAGCCAAATGGTAAGCCATTTAGGCGGCTTCCCTGGCAGTCTCATCCATCACTTATGGTATGAATTCAAACAAAACACATAAACCAGCTTCAGAATATAGATATTTCAAAATGTAGCATAGCCCTTAAGGAGGGGCCAAGTGCTATAGTCATCTTTTCAGGAATCCATTATGTTCCTTAGAGAGGACATTTCAGAAAACAAAATTTGTAGGCAGATCTGTAGGAAGGAACATGTTTGACTTTTATATATCTATAACAAAACCAGACTAAGAGCTTAATGAAGCTCTAACGTAATGAAATATAATTTAAGAGGTTGTCTGGCTGCCCTCCCAGACTCTAGAATTGTAGGTTCTTGGAAGGAATGAGTAAGGCAAGCAGCAGTCTTAAGGAAGACCATGCACTTATTGCCAGACTCTCCCACTTATGTTTTTTTTTTTTGCTTAGACAATTGATTTTAGTCATTTACTGAAGCGATGTTTGCTTTTCCATCATTCACCACTCTGCTGTAGTAATCTTCCTACAGTACCATGTAATTTTATTTCCCTTGTTCTAAAAAAAAATGCAGTAGTTTCTTGTGTCCAAAGAAAAGGGCTCTTTCATATGCTTTGGTCATAAACGTGCTTTGCCTGATTTATGATAATAATAGGTAACACAGAGCAGGGAGTCCTTGGCATAATCGTGGAGCATCTTGGAGTCACAGCTCTGCTCCTAAGGAACTACGAGGTACTCAGCATCTAAGCTAAGAGTAGCAAGAGTCGGATTCCTTAAGCTGCTGTGAAGGTTAACCAAAAGTGCCATGTGTCCGTTTATTTCCACACGCCACTCCAGTGTGGTTTTCTTCTCACACTTAAACTCCTTGCCATAGCTTTGCTCCTGATTTCTCAACTGTACCTGCTTTTCTACTCCACTCCACCTCCTCCTTGCAAGAGCCGATCTTAGAACACAGGTTCTACCTTGAATGCTTCCTATATCTCTTGGCCCTTTCCTTGTCACATTCTATACCTCTGTATTGTGTCCTCAAATGCCTGAGCTATGCGTTGCCTGGCTACTTACTATGTACTTTTCTTCCACCCCCCCCCTTTTTTATGATGATGTGCTGTCTGGGAGGTAGTTAGCTTTCTTCCTATTCCTGAAATCTGTCCGAATGATTTATAGATAACACTCCAGTTGGTTGTGATTATTCATTAATGTGAACCTTAAATTTTCGTCCCTCCTATCAGTTTCCTATCCCTTTGACGACTTTGACAATATAGTATGAAAACATGAACTACTGAATTTCTGAATACTTTCTTATTTGAAAATTATGTTTGGAAACATCTGTAGTATAGTTGAAACAGGATCTCTCACACTGTAGTCCACCATGACCTGTACCGGCCTTGAACTCTAGGTCTACTGATTCAGCCACCCAAGTGCTAGGATTACAGGCATGATCCACCACTTGGAGATCACTGGTGGTTTTTTAATGCATTCATTCTTTCTGAGGCAGGAGAGAAGGAAAGTAGAAAGTGAAAGAACTGGGAAGGGAAGGAGTCAGCTTCCTGTACTTGTCACCAAGAATCAAGTGTCAGGAGCCAGCTGACCCGAGTCTTTCTCAGAGGCCCTGATTACCTGGCAAAGTCCAGGATGATAGAGCTAGTTGGAGTCAAGGTTGCAGCCTCTGGGAACCTGACTCTTCTCTATGGACTACGGTTATCAACCCTTAGGAAGTTATGTCAGAAGTATGCCTTGTTCTCACTGCCAACATTGACTGGCTTATCTCTCCACTAACCTTGACTGTTTCCCCCTGCAAATAGTATAAATGGTGTTGTACCTCTTAATGTCCTTGCTTGACAAAAGTCATCAGCTTATTCGACATCTTCTGGGCCCAGCTATTGCTTTTGTCCTCCTTAATTCTCATCTTCTCTATTCTCATTCCCAGTTTTCCCACTCAATACCTCACCATTCGGGACACTTATCCCTGCTGGTTTAGGATAATCAAGAAAACTACTGGTTCCAGCATTCAGGAGACTGAGTCAGGAAAAGTGCCAGAAGTTGAAGACCAGGGTGGGCTACATAAAAGGCCCTTGTCTCAAAGAGCTTAAGTATGACTCTCTAAAGAAATTCACGCTCACTTTTGAGGATATAAAACGTATTTTTCTAAATGCTTTTATCTCTTTCCTTCTCATTTTCTTTGTTTTAGTTTATTGACAGAGGGTCTTATTTAATGTGGACTAGACTGCATTCAAATCTGTTATCCTCTTTTCTCCACAGTGCTGGGATTACAGGTATTAGCCACCATGTCCAGGCTTATTATGTAGCCTGGGCTATCCTGAACCTCTCTATGTCCTTAAGACTGATGTTGAAGTTCTGGCCATCTTGCGTTCTCCTCTAGAGTGCTGGGATCATAGACATGCACTATCATGCCTGGTTTATGTGGTGCTCGGGTTGGAATCCAAGACCTGGTCCATGCTAGGCTAGCACTCTCCCAACTGAGCTAAATGCCAGCCCTGTTCCAATCTTATTAAATTCCAGTTTTGCTTCATGAAGACTTGTCCTGAAGTTATTTTCTGCAGGGTAAGTCAAGGATCCCTGCTTCACCTAAGGAGGGCTTCCGAACAGAACTCCTGTCACTTCATTAAGAAGAAAAACTACAGAAGAAGAGGCATTGCAAAGAACATCTCACAGCTGAGTTTAAAGCACACATTTTGTTTGTCTTAGCTTCCAGAAAACTGTTTCTGTTTGGGAATTAAATACATACATACATACATACATACATACATACATACATATTCAAAGGAAGACCAGAAAGGTGGAATTTCCAAAACAAATCTTGAGATACCACTCCACTGAGGGGCTTTTTGTCCTGTGGGGAGATTTTGGTGAGTCTAACAGCAAGATGACATATTGCTAAGATCTTGTGATATCGTTAAAAGAACAGTATATGCTGCCATGCCCTTTAAACACCAGAAGATACAAGATAAATATTATACACTTTCTTTTAACAAGCCGTCAAACAGCACTCCTCCATGGAGACTTGGTAATTTTAAACAGTAAAGCTAGTTTAAATGAACGTTAAGAATAGGCGAGCAGAAGAAGTGTTCCGTCAAGAAGCACCTTTGTGCATCAGCAGCTATGGCTGTGGAGAGGCGACTTGGGGGTGCAGAGATGAAGTTGTGTCATTTGGTGATTCAATGAGAGCTGGCCTAGGGTTCTGGACACAAGCCTCTTGTGTTCTAGATGTCTGAGTCCTGGCCACTGTTTTCTTTTACCCTAAGGCCCTCCTGAGCTCCTAGGGCCCTTCCTACCATAAAAAGTCCACCTCATTTTAAAATAAATTTACCTGTTTGTCAAAATACCAATGTGAATTTTTTAATGACCTGATCCCTGGGATCCATATTGTGGAAGGAGTGAACTGGAGAACTCGGGCCTCTGAACTCCACACGTGCATGCTCGCAGATAAACATATACGATATGTAAATGTAGTAAGAATTCTAAGCAATCATATCAGGCCATAAAATTCTCTACTACATGTAAGCTCTATTTGGAGTGGGAACATTTCAGGCATCAGAGAGTGGGTCTGCGTTCTACAGATCAGGTTAGGGAACCTTATTTCAAAATGAGGTTTGCAAAGGCTGCCCCATGTGACCTGCCTCAGGCTTGTTTCATCCATTAAAAGGAAGTGTACCAGTAACTCTTTCTGCATTGTGGTAATGCTGTGAAAAGCAGCTGGGACAAATAATTCAGAAGGTTCCAAACAACAGCAATACGAAGGTAAAGTGCCAGTATTTCCTCCTCTGTAAAGTGGAAATAATGACACCGACCGGCGGCAGCGGGCTGTATAGGGGAACTGTCAGTTTCAAACACAAACCGTATTCCCATCCAAATATGAGCCGCAGCACCTCTCGGCCTCTCTAGCTCTCCTGTTCCAGCTGCTTCCGTGGTTTGGGAAAATGGAGTGCTTTCTGGGTAATTTGCACCACAGTGAGTGCAAGGCGGAGGAAAGGGGGATAACAATTTGTGGTCGCGTCGAAGACCTAGGTGGAAAGATCAATCTGAAGACAGCTGGCCACAGAGCACATTTCCCCTTCGGGAGCAGCAGCCTGTTCACAGGCAGAGGCTGGAGTGGAGCAGGGAGGAGCTAAGTGGTAGGGGAGGCGTGGGAGAGGGAGACGGGGCGGGCCCCCGAGCGTCAACCAATCAGAGAGTACCCAGGCAGCGACCAATCACAGCTCGCCTAGCCTGGCAAATCTGCCCGGCAGTGCGGGGCGGGGCCGCCAGAGTCCCGGGGCCGCCGGTTACTCTTCTGAGAGCCTTTCAGGAAAGCACAGGGCAGGGGGCAGAGAAGCCTGGGGGCGGGTGGCAGGCAGGCCCGACCTGTGTACTAGCCCAGGGACACCCACGGAAGCACCCATGAAGTAGAGATGGTGCAACCGGGGCGCGCACGTGTGTGCAGCCCGCTGGCATGTCTCTATGCCCTGTGGGCACCTGTCGTGTGAGTAGCTGCGGGTGTGGCTGTTTCTGGATGCTGTGGGTGTCGGTGAGGTTTGTGTCTTCGGGCCTGCCTCCCCCGTCTCCAGAGGGGAACTAAGAAGTTTAACTGAGAGGGACACTGAGGAGATTAAAGGAGTGGATCTCAGAGGCTAGGCGGAGAGGGTGGGGACTGCGGGCGCAGCGGGCAGGGGCAGGGAAGCACCTATTTAAACCATCTCCCAGCCAGAAAAGCGTCTTGAAAAGGCTGGTGTGACCCATGTGGCTCGGAAATGTCTAGAGAGCCCCGAGCGGTGATGATCACAGAGTGAGTGGCTCTGGGCTGAGCCTATCCAGTTCGTGGACAAGAGGGATGTTAGCATTTAGAAAGGCCAGGAGGAAACTCAGGATGGGGACCATCTGCTCTCCCAATCCCAGCGGGACAAAGGCTGCCTCGGAGGTCTGCAATGCCGACTGGATGGCCTCGCTCCCCCCTCACCTCCACAACGTCCCCCTTTCCAATCTGGCAATCCCAGGTATTCGTCTATAACTACTTGTTCACACTGTATTTAATTCTGCCATTTTTACTGTTTGTCAATGGGCTGGGTTGTTTGTTATTGTGTTGAAAAAACAATAATTGTCAGTCATCTCTTTTATTTCCAAATTAAAAAAAAACTTAATAGGCGGGTAGCTGCTTTAAAGAGATTCGAGCAGACTGCATCACTGGCAAATGGGGCAGCGAAAGAATGGAAGTCACAGCACTGTTGTTTTGTTGTTTTCATTCTGTTTATACCAAACAGTCTCAATCTGAGAATGTTGGCCTTCTTAATATTGAGTTCCGAGTATGTGAAGGGCTCATTGACTTGAGTCATTTAAGGAAAAGCAGGAGGGATCAAGGATAATGGATTAAAAAGTCGTTAACAATCTTAGCTCTGAATCAGAATTAAAGCTGAAAAAAATTTTCTCTCGGTTATCTGACCTTGTGTGAAAAAACATCAGATAAACGTTAGAAAATCGGTTCATACTCGAGGCTGGATATGAAGGTGCATAGTTTTGTTGTTGACAAAAGCCAGAAACAGAGGATGCAAGCTGTTCTCACAGGCAGTCATTAGGCGTGATGAAGTGATGGTGTTGGAAGCTTTGTCTATATATATGCAGGTGTCTGCCTGGCTGATCTAGAACTGTAGCCTTGAAAAGCACCTCTGCCTCTGCTGCATTCCCTGACAGAGGATTTCAAGCTTGACATCACTCTCGTGTAATTAGTTAATCTTTCCACCAAAAGCATTGTTAAAACGCAGTTGTCCTGGGAAGGATTTTGAGACCACTCTGAGCTTGACTTGGTAAGGTGAGCGTCGTTCTATGATGCTGGGACTTAGGAATCACCCAGGGAGCAAAGGGTGGACCATTCCTTTCTCTTTCTTGGACAAGTAGCAATTAAAGTTCACCTTTAGACTATCAGATAAACTCCCGAGTATTCCCTGGACCTATCTGTTTTTTTTCTGCCTTAAAAGATGACCTCATGCCACTTCCATCTGCTTTCTATGCATGGGGAAGAAGGATGTTGGCTTCGGATGCAGGTTTTGCCTGGCTAACCTCTTCTTTTGGAGCTCTTCCAGGATCATTGTCCTCATGGGCCCTTACTGCTGCTGAACAAGGGAAAGGTTGCAAAATCTTGTTACAGTTACGATCCCTTCTGTTTTACTGGCCCTTAACTACAGTTCCATGGGAAATGCCAGATGGCCATACTTTAGAACATACCTTTTCCATGTTTAATTGATGCCTATGGAGTCATCTCCAACAGGATACATGGGACACTTTTAACATGAGTCATTTGCCTTCGGGTTCTTCGGTGGAATTATTTGGCTGAGTGATATGGCGGGTAGTTTATGTTTGCAAACAGAATGGCATCTTAGGCAGGTCCTAAATGATCGTGTCATTCGGGGCATGTCCGGGTAGGCTGGGCTTCCTTCTTCCTTGTACTTTGGACAGTTCAAACTGTAGCTCTACTGGGCTTGACTGTGAATTCTGATTGACTCTACAAAGAATCTGGGCATTTTTCTTGGTCTAGAGTTTATTTTAGTTACTAGAATTGCCAGAGGAAACAAAATTCTTGAGAACCACCACCATACTGGGAACTGAATATTAGCTCTTTGAAGCACACGGGTTTGTTGTCCCTGCTTTGTGAGTGTGAGTGGAAAAGGAGAATTGTGTCCTGACTTCCCCAAACACATTACATCTCCTACTATGAGATGTCTTTTTCCAGCAATGGAAGAGTCACACACAGGTATGTCCCACAGAACCGGAGACTCAAACATGAAGTATCCATATACATCCCCACTCCTCATTGCTGGTTATCTTTACTGTGCCCCAACTTTTAATAGGTTCCCAAAAGAGACTTACAGTCAGGTTCAGCCTAGCCTTGATGAGAAATTACAATATATGCAAAGTATTTCTGAAGGGGCTCCATCATCTGCCCCTTCCTCTGCATTATTCATAGTTTCATCATAACCACCACCACCCCCAACACACACACACACTTTCCCCTGCCTTTCTTTGGGAAACACCTACTCCTATGTAGCCTAGCTTGGGTTCAACCTTAAGAGTCTCCTGCTCAGCCTTTCAGATTTGCAGCTACGGGCCACCATGCCTGGTGGTAACTATCCTCCCTGATATACCCACTGGCATATATTACCTCAAGTACTTATGTTTTCCTTGAAATCAATACATATTAATACCTTCATTTTTGAAAAAGAAATTAGGAGTTGAGGTGTAACTCTGTTGATACAGTACTTGCCTAGCATGTATGAGGTCCTTAGTCTGATCCCCAGCATCATATACGTGAGGCAGAGTACAAGCAGGAAGATTGGGAGTTCAAGGTCACCCTCTGTTGCATAGTAAATTTGATATCCATCTAAAAAGAAATAAGGAAATTATCATCCAGAAAATGTATATTGTGTTCTCAAAATTACACATATGCTGAGTGGCAGAGCTAGTATTTAAATGCTTATGTAACAAAAACACTCACTCACTGCCTCAGTGCCCTTGAGGGGCCTTGGGAAGCAGAAAGCAGCAGAGATGGTTCCTGGCCGAAAGGCAGATTTCCCACACAGAATTCTGCAGTATGTGAAAGAAGTGCTAAAAACTGGGGAGTTTTTGTTGTTGTTATTCATTTGTCTGTGTCAGAGTCTCATTAACCTTGGCTGACCTGGGACTCCTGATCCTTCTGTCCCTACTTCTCACATGCCAGGGGTTGCAGGCCTATTCCGCCACACCAACCCTGAACCCCTGGTTTTCATCTGAGGAATTATATATCAGTTTGAACATTGACTAGAATCAGAGGAAAAGCTGTCTAGAGAGACATATACATAGTAGATATGTGAATGATAACAGGTACATATATATAAGCATATATAAAAGATATATGCTAGATAAATGTACAGGCAGGCAAGACAGACAGACAGATAGATATAGACAGACAGATCGATATAGATAGAAAGATAGTTGGATAGATAGATACATAGATAAATAGATAGATAGATAGATAGATAGATAGATAGACAGACAGACAGACTTGTTAGAACTAGAACCATTAAGTCTGAAATTCACATTGATGCTTTGATTCCCGTGTGTCCATATGCTGAGGCAGATCCATCAGAAGGGGAGCTACGGCAGCAGTGACATTGGAGAAAGGGTGAGGGATCTGGCAATCATCGATCTGGATGTAGTTAGTTATGTCAGATGTAGGAGCACCTGCTGCATGTGCCTAGCCATTGATGGGAGACAACACATGTGGATGTGTACTCTCAACGGAGCCCTGGTGGATTACTTTGCTTCCGCAACTGTTAACCCCACCTGTTAAGCTCCTTGGTCACTCGAATACATTGAAGTATCTTGTAGGAGAAACTCAAAGTTATTCTCATTCCCAACTGTGTCTAGTCATTTGATCATTACAAGGTAAAAGATCTTGAAATTATTGTTACTTTTTAAAAATAAAGTTTATTATACTAATACTTTCCTTGATGCTAATAACATTTTCTGAGTTTTTCTTTTCTTTTTTACTATATAATGTATTCTATTTTCCTTTCTGTCCCCTTTTTTAAAAACATGGTTTCACTCTGGCCTGGAACTAAACCAAAATCCTCCATCTTCTGCCTTCCAAGTAGCTTGTAGGGACTATAGTTTGAATACTTGGCTGTATACTGATTTTGAGTGAATTCATCTTCTCTGTATATGTTACTACCCTGCCCTTTTCTCCTTTTTTGTTTGTTATATTGTTCAACAATTTTTTTCTCTTTTATTAAAGATAGACATTTGGTCTATTGGGAAGAGCCTTCTTGAGTTTAAAGGTCTTGGGTCATGCAGTTGATTCTGGTTGTGGTATTAAGTAGCAGCATTTCTACTTGAGATTAAGATACTGATTAAGAGCTGGACATGGTGGATCACATTTATAATCCCAGTGCTTGGGAAGTTGAAACAGGTGAATTGTTTCAAGTTCTAAACCATCCTGAGCTACATAGTAAGTTTTAGGTCACCTGGGCTATAGAATGAGACTCATCTCAAAAAGTAAGCATGTTAAAAAATATGCTGAGTTCAAAAAATTCTTAATCTTTGTCAAATTGAAGATTAATTTAGGGCTTGGGCTTTTGTTTATTTCTTTGGTTAGTTGGTTGGTTGGTTGATGGTATTGTTGTTTTTCAAGACAGGATTTTTCTGTGTAACAGCCCTGGCTGTTTGAAACTTGCTTTGTAGACAAGACTGACCTGGAACTCAAAAAAAGCTGCCTCCCAAGTGCTGGGATTAAAGGTGTGCACCACCACTATCCAGCTTGACTCATGTTTTTAAAAACCATAAATCTTGTTTCTTGTTAATAGAAATATTGGAAAGGATTGCTGAGTTTATTTAGGTCTGAAGAACATTTTTTATGTCCCTTTTAAACAAGAATTTCATTTTGGTTTCAACAAGGACATGATTGTGTGAAATGAATCAGGATCCACTATAGCCTCCTAATTTTCTCCTCATCATACCCTGCGTGCATTTGAAGAAAACCCCACCTCTAAAGATGCTTATAACCCAAGTTGGGCAGAGCAATTCCATCTGGCATCCTCAGCTTTGCCGGGTAAATGACATTTGATCTAGTTTTGAGTAATGCTTGGAGCTGGGGTCAGGTAGCCCGGGAGCCTCTGACTCCAGCACTCGAGAGGCTGGGGCACCAGGAGGGTCTCTATGGATACGAGGCCAATCTGGGCCACAGAGGGAATTCTAAGATAGCCTGGGCTACATGACTACATGAGACTGTGTGTGTGTGTGTGAGTGAGTGAGTGAGAGAAAGAGAGAGAGAGAGAGAGAGAGAGAGACAGAGAGAGAGAGAGACAGAGAGAGAAAGAGAGAGAAAGAGAGAGGGAGGGAGGGAGGGAGGGAGGGAGTGCGAAGGTGTAGATCAGGACTGTGAGAATATTATTTGAAGAATAAGGTTGGGAAGGGGCAAGTTCCCATGAAACAGTCCAGTTGAGCCAAATGATGAGGGAAGTAGAGGGAA